TATGCCTGTTTTGTCTACTTTTCTACTATATGTAGTTTTTATATAATTTGAAATGTCTTCAATTCTTTCTGGCCCTTTTGAAGATATACTCCATAAAACGGAACACAACTCTTCGTACTTTAATGTAATCTTCATTGTAGATTTATTAAATATGGTACTTAAAATCTGAGAAGTTTACTTATATACCAATTCTTGTCATTTCCGATACAGGTATTCCAAAGTAAAAAATTACGAATTGTCTACCTATTAACATTTAGGACTATATTACTATAACCTGTAATTCAGTCATTGATTTTTCTTATTAGTGAATGAATCGAAATTATAAACGAAACAGAACGAAATGATCTGTCGAAAAAATTTAGGTAAAAAATAGTTATAAATTTTTGAAAATTTAAGCATAATAGACCCTTTCAATTATAAGGATAAGCAAACAAATAGAAAATAGGTAAATATAAGATTTAAATATGTTCTGTCATACTTAATACTAAAATATGAAAAAGATGAAATTAAAGGACACAGGTTTAAATGAACATATTTTTGAATGTAATTGAGATATTGGCTTGAAATTTTTTGTAAAGGGTCGAGAATTTCCATATCTAACTAAAAAATGATATTAAGGGATAAATATGGACTAAATTGTTGTAGCTATCTGCGATCCTATTAAAATTTTGATATAAATCATAGTTTTAGAAATTAAACAAATATGTAATATATGACAAAATCTTTATTTATGAACAAAACTCAATGAAATTTTCAACGCTTGTTAAATTTGTCATTTCAAATAAGAAAATGCAAAAAAAAAATTGAAAAGGTCAAAGGGCATCCCGCAATTCCCAAAAATAGGAATGAAAATCCCAAAAATGGGATTTTTTACTTTTTTGCCCATAGGGTCCACATTTCTTTCAGGGCTGGGAAAATACTTTTGGAGTAAATAGAAAACATATTGAGGTTTCCAAAACTGCTTTCAGTTTTCTGATCCCAGCTTTGGGATTTTAGAACATGTCGCCCAAAGTTGAAGTTTTGATAAAAAATAGGTCATATTCGGAAGGACGCAGTGGCAACATTTTCAAAAAATAGGACAAGTTTTTTACGCCAAAGCGTTCTGCGTAAAGATACCTTTTAGAAAACTATAAAATTGTTATATGTTCTTAATAAAAATTTTATTTTATTAATAAAAGAGTTAAGACACATTTTTGGCAAAAAAATGGCAAAAATCTAAAATTTTTTGAATTTTTAAATTAAAAAACGTATATTTTTGGATCTGCAAACAATATTGATCTGAAATTTTTTGTATATTATTGGAAATTTTGTTGTCTAACTAACAAGAAAAAATTGAGTCCATTTGGTCCAAAATTACGCCCGGTATTCAAAAAAAGGCGGACCAAGGTATGGTAAATTTTGTATCACTAAATTTTTAAATGCCTATAACTCGGATATTATAAGAGATAAGTAGTATGTCCAAGCATGTTTTTTCAAGATCTCGTCGAGCGCTTTCACAAAATATAAAAATCTTTGTATTTGGGTGAAAAACAAAAAAATGGCACGAGTTTAAAAATTTTACATGTCGTAGGTACCCTACTTTGAGCCGCCACAGCGCCGTCCCTGGGGCATCTGCAGGGTTCATCTTCAAAACTTAAACTCGAATACTCCTTGGCTACGCTCACGCCAAATTTTATCCCGATCGGATCAGCCGTTTAGAAATGCCAGATTTATTTCCAAAAAATTTCCATTCTGCCCCACTGTGCAATCTAAATATTAACAATTAGTTACTTCTTCATTCCTTCATTGCGAACTTATGTAAAAGTTCTTTAATTCTTTCTTTTTCTTATACGTATATCTAATATTTAATATATCTGTTGGCAAGTTGTTAAGGATTTTTGGCAATTGTACTTCTATACTCGCTCTTCCATAGTTATTTTTAAATATCCTTGTTTTATATCGGCCTTCTGTTTGACTTCTGGTATTATAGCGATGATTTATTCTCTCTAGATATCTACTTTCTTGATGAAAATTGTTGATCACCGTCATTTCATATATACTCTTTATATTGAGTATTTTTAACTGCTTTGCAATATAAATATTGTTACAGTAATTATTTCTGTAGAAGATTTGGTTAGTGTTATCTGTATTCATACTGTTGTTTGTGTTGGTATTGTTGTTGTTTCTACCAATATTATATGTGGTGGTGTTGTAGTTTGTACCGGTGTTGTTGTTTGAATTAGTGTTGTAGCTTGTATTGTTGTTTGCGATAGTGTTGTTATTTGTATTATTGCTTGAGTTGATGTTGTTATTTGTAATGTTGTTTGGGCTAGTGTTGTTGTTTTGGCTAATGTTGTTGTTTTGGCTAGTGTTGTTGTTTGAGCTAGTGTTGTTGTTTGGGCTAGTATTGTTGTTGTTGTTTGGGCTAATGTTGTTGTTTGGGCTAGTGATGTTGTTTGGGCTAGTGTTGTTGTTTGGGCTAATGTTGTTGTTTTGGCTAGTGTTGTTGTTTGTGCTAGTGTTGTTGCTTGGGCTAGTGTTGTTGTTTGAACTAGAGTTGTTGTTTGGGCTAGTGTTGTTGTTGTTGTTTGGGCTAATGTTGCTTTGGCTAGTGTTGTTGTTTGATCTAGTGTTGTGGTTTGGGATAGTGTTGTTGTTGTTTGGGCTAATGTTGTTGTTTTGGCTAGTGTTGTTGTGTGAGCTAGTGTTGTTGTTTGTGCTAATGTCGTTGTTTTGGCTAATGTTGTTGTTTGAGCTAGTGTTGTTGTTTGAGCTAGTGTTGTTGTTTGAGCTAGTGTTGTTGTTTGGGCTATTGTTATTATTTTGTCTAGTGTTGTTGTTTGAGCTAGTGTTGTTGTTTGGGCTAGTGTTGTTGTTTGGGCTAATGTTGTTGTTTGGGCTAGTGTTGTTGTTTTTATACTTTTTGGATTTTTGAAAATTATCCCAAAGTATCTTTAATACTCTATTTTGGGAGTTTTGGATAATATTACAGTACGTTGAGCTTCCCCATGCTGTAATACCGTGCCTGATATATGACTCCGTCAATGAGAAGTAAGCTTGCCTCAATACGCTGTATGTAGCAGAGTTGCTTAGGTGATATAGCATAATCGAAGATTTTCTTATTTGTTTTAGTACTTCTTCAATGTGTGTGCGCCATTTAAAATTGTGGTCTATATGCACACCCAGATATTTGTATGTATTTACCAATTCGATAGAATAGATAGATAGATAGATAGATAGATAGATAGATAGATAGATAGATAGATAGATAGATAGATAGATAGATAGATAGATAGATAGATAGATAGATAGATAGATAGATAGATAGATAGATAGATAGATAGATAGATAGATAGATAGATAGATAGATAGATAATAGATAGATAGATAGATAGATAGATAGATAGATAGATAGATAGAAGATAGATACGATAGATAGATAGATAGATAGATAGATAGATAGCTAGATAGATAGATAGATAGATAGAATAGATAGATAGATAGATAGATAGATAGATAGATAGATAGATAGATAGATGTCGTGAAGTAATGTTATGTTAAATACATGTTTTGATATAGTGCAATAGTGTAGATCATAGCTTTGGAGTATCTTTTTTACGTCCTTTTGGGATTAGTAGGAAGTAATGATATGTTCCTACATGTTTTTGATATTTGCAATAGTTTTAGATCAGCCCTATTCTTTTGCGGAGTACTTTTTACACACGTTGAGGTGTAGTTCCACTTTTTACGGTGTACTTATTTCCTCCCTAAGTGTTTCAGAAACTTTTTTCTTCGTACTTACCTCCCGCAATTTGAAAATAAACTATTTAGACGTATACATTTTTATACAGACTTTTAAGTAAACAACAATTTATTTACAGCATATTTTGGTATTAAACCAGATTTAGATTATAAATTTAAGTTTGTTTTTTAACAAATTACAATTATTATTCATTTATTGTACACATCCATAATTTGTTAGATTGTACATAAAATATGAATTTAAGTTAATAATAGTGATATTTATTACAATAATTATTCTGTTTTTTGGTATGTTTTTAACATGCTTTTTATACCCTACACCACTTTAGTGGGGAGGGTATATTGGGTTTGTGCTGATGTTTGTAACGCACAATAATATTGGTCCTATACCCACCTTAAAGTATACCAATCGGCTCAGAATCATTTTCTGAGTCGATTTAGCTATGTCCGTCCGTCTGTCCGTCCGTCTGTCCGTCCGTCTGTCCGTCCGTCCATGTAAACCTTGTAATCAAACTACAGGTCGCAATTTTGAAGATAATTCAATGAAATTTGGTACATGATCTTCTATTGTCCCAGGGACGAAGCCTATTGAAAATGGTTAACATCGGTCCATTATTTCACCTAGCCCCCATACAACTGAACCCCTCGAATAGGGCTTTTAAAACTTGTAATTAAACTACAGGTCGCAATTTTGGAGATAATTCAATGAAATTTGGTACATGATCTTCTATTGTCCCAGGGACGAAGCCTGTTGAAAATGGTTACCATCGGTCCATTACTTCACCTAGTCCCCATACAACTGAAACCCCGAATAGGACTTTTAAAACTTTTAATCAAACTACAGGTCGCAATTTTAGAGATAATTCAATGAAATTTGGCACATGATCTTTTATGGTACCGTAGATGAAGCCTATTGAAAATGGTTACTATCGGTCCATTATTTCACCTAGCCCCCATACAACTGAACCCGCCGAATAGGGCTTTTAAGTTCATAATTATGTTTAATATACTCATATCTCGACAAAAAGCTGCAATAACCAAGTTGTATACAAGACTTGATGACCCCCATGAATTCCATAATAATAGGTTCTCATATGACCCTAGCCCCTATGAAAAGCCCCCATCAAAATTTCACTTAAATGTCCACAATTTTATTCAACAATAAACGGCTTAAGTATGTACATATATCTAAGGCAAGGTACAATTCAACTTAAATGCTTTATTATGGCAACTAAATCACATTATATTTTTGTCAAAGGTGTAGGGTATTATATGGTCGGCCTCGCCCGACTATAATTTCTTACTTGTTTTAATATAAATTTGTATTATGTCTTTTTCTTGTAGTATTTTGTGTTAAAATTTCATAAAATAACAAAAGCCTGATGTACTACAGGTGGGGTAACAAAGTGTATTTGACTACAATTTAGAGTTTAATACAAGTTTTTACTAGAAATGCAAATTTTATTTAAAATTTATAAAAGAAAAACTGGATATTAACATTTTAAATTTATGGATGTTTCTATAAATTTCAATTAAAACATGCAACAGTTTTGTAGTGTATTTTCTAGATCTTCTAAATTAATAAAAACTATAGTCCAAAGGATTTAATTTTCTATCTTAACCTCAGCTTTTTGTAATAATTCAATTCTAATTATTAATATTTTAACTCTCAAAACAGTGTTTTAAATTATATTTCTTTTTAATAAAACTAGACATTTTTCTTCTTAAATTTAGACAATTACAAAGTATATGTATGAATGTGGATGGATATTATGTAATATGTTTTATTAAAAAGTTTGTGCAAATTATAATAAAACAATTATAAAAAGCCTACGATTATACGAATACATAATATTTTTAAATTCAAAATTCATTGCTTTTATAAATTCACTAAAGGCAAAGTTTTTTTTCTGCTATAGGTGTTATTTAAACTTGGTTTTAAAAGGGTTTAGATTAAACATAAAGAGAGGAGAGGACACTAAAACTTTGGAATACTTTCTTTATAATTGCCAGGCATTCCACGAAATAAGATATAAATATCTTGGAAGCGATGTTTTTCCAGATATAACAACTCACACGAATACTGAATACCGAATGAACAAGAACACCTCTAAAACAGTGGGATTGATGGGTTTGATAATGATTAGTGTCTTAGAGACAATCCTAAGACACTTATCATTTCGAAATAGAACTTGAAAAGAACTATAAATTCATTTCTGAACAAACCAGGAAAAAATTAAGAATTGAGCGGATTTTTCAAGTGCCCTCGTTATCACAGTTTTACTTCGTGTTATAGGGCTATAAAACTTAGGTCTTATGGGTCTTTATAGCGGACAATTAGTAATCTTCAAAATATCATGACGGTATACAAGAAACATTCGATAAAGGGAAAAGAACACAAGATTCTTGGAGCTAGTTGTAATTTCATTACTTTAGAAATGAAATGGAAATGAGAACGGAACTTAGGTATAATCACAGAAACAATCAGTTTCTGGTACAAATCTTCAGAAAAATGCTACAAGCACAGGCTGCAGAACTGTTCCTAAGAAGATTCCCTAAAACCAGTTAGAACGTTTTTTGACAGATTTAGTAACAGTTTCTGGTTCCAATCTTCACAATTTCAAACAAAAATTATAAAATAAGTGGTCCTTAAACTGTTCCTTAAAAGAGTTATATTTATAATGCTTCTCTAAAACTACTTCCGATGTTAATATTTTCGAGCAAATTTCATAGATTGTGTTTCTATATGTCGACTTAATAAAGCTCCTATTATTCAACTATTACATTGTTACTATTACAAAGCTTTGGTGACATCCGTTCGAAATGTTTTATATTCTATCGATATTATCCCGATCTAAAGAAACTTAATAAAAAATATTTCAATTTGGAATAGACCTCATTCACTGAGAAGTTTATCGCCCATTTCTGCATCCCTTTTTCACAATTTGAAACAAAAATTACTCAAGAACTAGTTCTAGAACTGTTTCTAATAAAGTGTTCCCTAAAACCAGTTCTAACACTGAAAATTTTGAACAAATATCATTGTTTAATGAAGTGTTTCTATATGTCGGCCTTAATAAACACTTCTATTATTCAAACTTGGAATACTTTAACAGGGTTTAAATTGTTACCATTTCATTAATGTGATAATCATTCTAAAATTCATTCTAATCCTTTGATATGTATTATCCACATCTGATGAAACATATTAAGAAATAGAACTTTTGGACTGAGAAGTTTATATAGAAGTTTAAGCCTGTCTTTCAGTCTGCCTCTTTTCTGATATTAAAACTTATCAGATGTCATTTCTGTTTACAATTTAAAACAAAAATTATTCACGAAGTGGTACCAGAACTGTTAATAAAGTGTTGATTTCAAAAGCTTGCCTGAAACTAGTTCCAACGGTGAAAATTTAAACTAAAACTATCTAACTAAGTGTTTTTAAAGATTGAATGTCGACTATATAACGCTTCTATTATACAAACTTTAAATACTTTTAAAGCGTTAAACATTTCGCGCTTTATAAGCTGCAAGTTACACTCCAGGCGTCATTTCGATCTTTCTTTTAATGTTTTTTAAAGGTGGAAATACACAACACGCGTTGAGGCGGCAACGCGTTTCACGCTTTTCGCGCTTTATAAGCGGCAAGTTACACACCATGCGTCATTTTGATCTTTCTTTTATTGTGTTTTAAAGCTATTACTGTTTTAAAAATCAAAATTTTAAGTTTTTGTATATTTTTTAATGTTTTTCTTCCGTTGTTGGAGAAATTTATTTCATTTTAGTTTCTACACAAAACAAAATACAAACCTGAGTAGCTGACGACGCGGCAAAAGTTGAAAATTGCTGAACTTTTCGCGGCAGACGCGTTACAAACAACAATGTGTAACTTTTTAAATGAAAATACACTATTTTAACTTTTTTTGACAGAAGCCTATAACGCGTTGCCGCCACTTTAAGACAATTACTGTTTTAAAAATCAAAATTTTAAGTTTTTTTTATTCACAAAACAAAATACAAGCCTGATGCGTCAAAAATTGAAAGTTGCTAAACTTTTCGCGGCAGACACGTTACAAACTACAGTGTGTAACTTGAAAATACACTACTTCAACTTTTTTTGACAGAAGCTTATAACGCATTGCCGCATACAACGCGTGTTGTGTAATTCAACCTTAATGAGCCTTTACACGAGCACACAAGTAATATGATCTGTCAAAATTGTGTGTAGAAGAGTACGGATGGGATCGCCTAAACGCAATATATAATGAAACCATCACACATTGGGAGAAAATACGGATGGAAAATTTTCCCTATAGAATTTCATTAGACTTTATGTACGTAAAGTGTGATCGTGTGAAGGTGCCTCTTATGTTAGAATCTGTTTGTTTCAGTCTACTTTCCTTTATTGTTTAAAACTCAAAAGATCTCTTCAAAATATAAAGCAAAAACTGAAAATGTCTAAAATTAATAACAGAAAAAATAAAACTCAAAATTTGTTGAATATATTTTCTTAAATGGTGTATAAAATATAAAATTTATTAAATAAACATTTGATTTTTTTTAGTAATGTATGGTATAAGCTTAATAAAAACATTTTTTTTATAATGATGTGATTTGTTAAAATAATAAAAAATAAATATAAAAACAATATTTTACTTTTTTTTTGTGGTTGTAAACGAAATGCAATTTTCTCTTACTTAAAAACTAAGCTAAAAATTATTGTAATGTTTAGTTTTTTGATTTTTCCTTTAGTTAAAAATAAAAATTTAAAAAAAAAAATAATAAAATAAAAAGAAAACATCATTTGCTAGAAAAATTATAATTTTAAATAGATTTTTTTAACCATAAATGCTTTAAAGAATTTGTGTTAAAAAAATATTGCTTGTTTTTTTTAGAAATTTAAAAAAAAAAATTAACATTTATAAAATAAAATATAATAATTTTTAAAATAAAACACGATGATGCTTTAGTTTAAAAATAAATTTTTAAAATTTAAGAAGTTTATGTGTGCTTTTTTAAAGAAATTTAAAAATTTCAATGTTTTTTATATTGCAATTGTTTTAACATTATGTGTTTCTTTTTTTCAATATTTTTAAAGAATTTTTGCAGTATTAAAATTTTAAAATCTTGTGTTTTAATGCATATGACTTTTAAATATATTTTTTAATATATAATTAATAATTAACAATTTAAAACTATTATGTAAGCAAATTGTTAAAAAGGGCAAGAGTTTAACAGCAAGATTTTGTGAAATTAGGCAAAAATTCTTTTAATTTTTATAAATGTTATATTACATTAAAATGTTATTAGTTTATCAAAATGTTATTTAACAGTTTTAGAGAGCATATGTTGTTTTCAAACTGTTTTTTTTTTAATTTATTATTAAAATTATAATAGTTATAGTTATATTTATTGAGACTTTTTTGAAACCAATAATTATAATAAAACTGTTAAATTATTAAAGATTTTAAATTGAAGCAAAACTCTATTTATATTTAGCTTTAATATTGTTAAAAATACTATATTTCTGTTTATTATTTCAGTCTTATAGAGTGCAAAATTAAAATAATTCAAACAACTATTAAATATTTACATTTCTTAAGGTTGTTTTTTCATCGAAAATTATTCTTTTAAATATTAAATTTTAAAACAAAAGCACACATAATTTAAAACAAAAACAAAGAAAAGTAAAATTTTAACTAAAAACAAAATATTACACAAATTGTAAGACATTTACTTAATATGTTTTTATAAATAAAAATATGTACACACAATTAAAAGTTATACAAATGGAAACGTTTTTAACAAACACCGTTTCATTTCTCTTTGTGTACTTAAAAGTGTTAGTATTAGAGTGTGTGTGTATATATCTTTCATAAATTCTTTTCTTATTAATTAAACAAATATGTTTCTATATAAAATTAAACAATTAAAAAGTCCTTGCACTTTAACATTAAAGGAAAACATCAATACGAAACAAAAAAAGTAATTGCTTTCAAACTAAATTACAAAAAAAGTAAATAATAAAAATGTTTAACAAATGACAAAATGATGAAAGATGATAATTTAAATTAATAATAAAATAAAAATAAATTTCCAGTGTTTTTTTTTGTTTGATGTGTTTTTCAATGTGGTGTGTAGTTAAAGGACTGTATGCTTCATGTCCTTTATAAAAAGAAAACTAACTGACTGTTTTTTTTTTGCGGCGAGACTCTTGTAAATGAAATCCTTTAGATTTAGATAACATTACCATTTGATTGATTTCTGTTCGATTTACCACTCAATTCATCTTGAATCTCATTCAAACTTTTGCCTTTAGTTTCGGGCACAAAGACGAATACAAAGATGCCACCCACTACGGTTATGCCGGCGAAAAGCCAGAATGTTTCACCACTACCCAAAGCATCTTTCAAGTTAACAAAAGTCTTAGTTACAATAAAAGCCAACACCCAGTTAGAGGTACCAGCAATTGAACCAGCTACACCTTTAATATCTGAAGCAAACAATTCACCCATCATCAACCAGGGCACGGGACCGAAACCAATAGAGAACATAATGATAAATACACACAAACTGCTGACGGGCAACCAGCCGAGATTGGCTACGGAATCTCTATCGTTTTCTTTCATATAGAAATAGACACCCATGGCAATGGTGGAAATGGCCATGACACTGGAAGAGGCCAGGAGTAAGATACGACGACCCAATTTATCGACTACCATGACGGAGATAAAGGTGGCAATGACCTGCATGATGCCAACAACAATGGTGGAGAGGTTTTCATCAATACCGGTTTCAGCATCCTGGAAAAAAGGGAAAGAAAGTTTAAATTAATAAAAATTTATTAAAAAAAAAGTTATATGAGGTTTCAACATTTGGGATTTGATATAAAGAAACTACTCGGGAAAAACTATAACAGTTAATTAATTGTACTCAATCTGGTTCAAAATTGTCATCTTGAGAAGCGATTCTGTGGAAGGGTTATTCTATGGAATAATTTTGGAAAAAGGGTTTGAATCAATGATGTTTGTTCGCTCTTGGAACTAGTTCTAGGATATGATTTTTATTCGAAATGTTTACCTTCAGAACTGGTTCTGTCAAAGAGTTTCAAATCGGCTCTGTTTCTATGTAGGGATTCTGCAATCAGTTCTTTTAACAAAGATATTTGAACGAATTTGTCACCTTCCGAACAAGTTCTAGGGAAGGTTTTGAAACAGTATTGAACTAGTTCCTTTTTCCATAGATTTTTGTTCAAGATTGTTGTTAAGATTAGGACCAATTCTAGACTAGACTAGACGCCTGTACTTATTCTATTTTTATCCAGTTTTATAAAAGCTTTTGAAAGTTATGAACAGTTAAGGAACTAGTTCTTTTTTCTAGAACACAACTAGTTCTAGAACTGATGATACACCTGTACTTGTTCTATTTTTTCATTGAGACCAAAGATTTTGGTTCGAAATTTTTACTATTGGAAGTGATTCTGTGGAAGCGATCTTTTTAAGCACTCAATGATCCTCCCGAAATGTTTTAATAGTCGAAATTTTTAAAATCGGATACAAATTACAAAACTGAATACGATGAAAACAGTCGAAATTTTCGACGGAAAAGAGAAAGCATTATGTAGTGAGTATCTCAACACTATATATTGATAAAGGTCTTTGAAAAACTTTCTATTATCTTTTAACAATATTTACCAACAGTAATATTATTAATCCAAAAGTACTTATTACGTCTTTTTGACATTCTTAGAGGTCGTATGAATAGAGATAAAATATGTACTTATATCTATTTATTAAAGAACATGACGATCAAGCATGACTACTTACCCTGAAAATATCGGTTGAATAGAAAATAACGGCATTGATACCACTCAACTGTTGGAAGAACATAAGACCCAAACTGATGCATAAAGCCTTGATGGTAACGGGACGCATGAGAGCACTGCCAATAGAAACAGGAGTTTCTTTGATTTTTCTTTCAGTCTCTTTTAATTCTTCGATTTCCATACGGTAGTCATAGTCCTTGCCGCGTAACCATTGAATAGATTTAACGGCGCTTTCATTGTTATTTTTAGAAACCTACAAATTTAATTAAGAATTTAATTAATTAATCGTTTAATTTAATTTTTTATATTAAGAAAAACTTACCAAATAAGTAGGAGATTCGGGCATAAATACAAATATTGCGCCAAATACTAAAGGTAAAATACCGCAAACAATACTCATCCAAAATACATCTAAACCGGCACCGACGGCATACACAAATAGAATACCTGCCGTTATCATCAACTGGAAGAAACTACCCAGTGTGCCACGTATATCTTTATGTGCTATCTCACCCGTATACATGGGTGCTGTAACACAGAAGGCACCACCCGATATACCCAAAATAAAACGAGCCGTATACATCATTTCAACATTTTGAGCCCAGATCAGGAGACACCAACCCAATGTGAAGGGTAAGACCAACAAGAGCATAGTTAATTTACGGCCAATTAGATTGATAAGAAAACCAATGGGTACACAAACAAAGGCAGCACCCAAAGTCATGGCAGAACCAATCCAGGAGAAGGCATTTTCATCGACAGGGAAACCATATTTACCCGTAGTTAGTTCACCTTGAGCGGGAGAGGTCCAACCTAAGAGAGTACCGGCTGCAAAGGCTCCACCAGCAGCTGATAACGCTGCCACATATTGTGGCAGGGTTCTGGAATTCGATTCAGTCGTGTGAACCATGTTATCGAGTAAGTTATCTTGATCCTAAAAAGATTTAAGGAAAATAAGAAATATATTAATAAAGTGTTTTTATAATTTTGGGTTTAAAATAAAACAGGACTTTTTTTTAAATCGCTAAAAGGGTTACAAAATCTGTTGTGCTTTGAGGTATTGCTATTGCAAGACTAATTGAAATCGCTACAATTAAAATTAATATTTTAGTTTAATGCTGTTTTTGTTTACAGATAATAAAAATATTAACAATATACAGGGACGTACGTAATATTTCAGAAAGGTTTTCAAAACAAGGAGATAATAAAAAAAACAAATTTTTATTGTCCACAGTTGAAATACATGTCAGTTACTTAGACCCCCATCAATTTCTCTGCTACTGCTTTCCTATCATTTTGTTTGTTAGTTAAAGGGATTTCTTGCAATCGTTTCTAATACAGATATTAAATTTATGAACCCCGATAACAATTGTTGTTTTCAATTCTTCAAAATGTCACTCTACGCGGTTTCATTGATGTGCTCTAACTGCACTCAATTCCCCTATACAATCGTTAGATAAATATTGTATAAGAAGTTATTGAAAATGTTGTATAATAAAAATTTCATTCAAAGTTATTTGTAAAAGTTTTCGAAAATTTTGATTTGAGTCTTTTCAAAGTACTCTGCTGGACTTTAAACCAGACTAATGGGTTCAAAAAGAGATCTCTCTAAGATTCATTTAATTGCTGATCCCACTGTGACAAATTAGAGGTTATAGGAGTCTATATTAAGTATTACTCATTACTTAAAGATTTATCCCAGATAACTCCTTCATACCTAATGAAAGGGAATACCAAATTAACACTCTCTATTCTCGGTACATAATAAGGATATGCTTAAGTCCCCCCCAAGGAGTATTCAAGTGACGCTCTCTATTCTAGGTAAATATCGGACAATATTAGAATAGATGGGACACTTTTCTTCATTACTACAACTCCTGCCGTTGTCATTGTACTCGAGACCTAATTATCAGGCAAGGGTGTCTAATGACATAGACCTCGAGGTCCGATAGGCGATTTCAGTCGTACTTCTTAATATACTTCTGCAAATGAGCCAGTAAGGACCTCAATATCCTCAACTCTTCTTATCACGCTAGTCCTTACTTAAAGACCTTAAATCTACATTAACTTACTTCAACTATTTTGAGATAATTTCAGAATCTATAGAGACCTCAAATATCTTAAGATTAAAAATTATTGACATTAAATCGTTAAAGAAAATTTTGGAAAAAAATAAGTTTTTTATCTAGAAATTTATTTGCCCTAAAGTTTGGTAACTCTATAAAGGTTATTTGTAGGGGATTTTAATATCAGTTTTATATCATATCAAGTGCTTTTATCAATGTTCTATAGAAATCTGTAATCGAAAAATATATTAATCCAGAGGATATGTAAAATTACATGTAAAATATGTTGTTTATTTAGACACACATGTAAACATATTATAAACTAAAAGTAAAGGTATTAGAGGTAGTCAAAAGCAGCTAAAAATCGGTTCAAATTAATTGCTCTTGTCTTAATAAGAGAAATTTCTTTCGAAGTGACATGCTCATAAACCTATCATTCACAATAGATGAGTTTGTTTACAACAACTGTTTATTGTTTACAAAATATATTGAGTGTTTTTCATTTAAAAACATTAAAATAAAATTACGATCAAAATTGGAAATTATTTATATAAAGAATAATTCTATTGGTTCGAATACAAATTTCAATATTTTGTACAAACTAAAGATCCTAAAATGTTCCCTATCATTTAACCAATTTAAATTGCTGGCAGTACTAATATGGGAATGGAAACTATGGCGCAATCTTTTAATAACTAAATGGCTATTTGTTGGCAATTTTCAATAACAAGTGTTATTTAATGAGGAGGATTTGCAAAATTAATCCTAAAAGTTATTCAGTGATTTGTAAATAAACAAAACTACAAAAATATATGACGCAAATATATACAAAAACAAAATAAAAAAGTCAGGTGTTTTAATAAAAGCAAACTTTAAACAAAAGAATTTTTGAACAAAAAAACTAAAAACATTAAAAATTTCTATTGTTTTCCAAAAAAAAATCAAACAAATAAATCCTAACAATATGGCCAGCTAACAAAATATAAATAAGGCAACACTGCTTTTTATTGGCTGCTTAAAATATGGCAACTATTGTAATACGTAACGGGAAAAGGAAGTAGATAAATAAGGTTATGCCTTTATTAATAATAATTTTTAAAAAAAGTTATTAACTAATACAGTACAAAAACTTTTGTTTAATACTGTAGCTAAAAGTTTTGTTAACAAAAGAAAGCTTTTTCGCTAACAGTAAAAGTATTGAAACTTTTTGCTGGTGTTTTCTTATAACTGTTAAAAAAGCTCGAATAAAAATGGTCAAGGTGTTAAAAAGATAACAAAAAAAGCTTTTTTTGCTTTGTTTCCCAATAACAGTTAATGTAAATTTAGAACTTTCCGGTTAAATTGCATATAAATTTGGTTATTTTTTTTGTTGTTGTTCCTAAGTCAATGTTGTTTGTTTACATAATAATCAAAAATACATAAAAATTAAAATTCCAAACAGGTAAATGTTAATAAAATCAGTAAGCCAACAGCTGGCTATTAGTTTTTTTTAGCTTAAAATAAAAAATATATATTTCACAACCTATGGGGAATATTAAGTACATTGTTTAATAAAAACAAACAAAAATTCCTCCTCTACTTTGCGTACGTAAGTGACCAAGTTTATTGCATTCCAAAATAATGGCAAGGGGCGAGTATTAAGTGTGTAAAGAAAACAAAGAGCAGCAAGAAAACAAATGCCCTTTTTGTCCTCTGTTAAGTAAGTATAGTATAAGCTGTCTGTCGCGTTATATAGTAGAATCACTAACAATACAAAGAAAAAAAGTTATAGAAGAAATTTAAAGCTTTTTGCGGTCATATAAACTTCATAAATATCTATATATGCAGACTATATAAACAAATGACGTTTTTCTATTTTGTGTTCTTTAGGTTTTGATTTTCATTTAAAATACGTAAATGTGGTCTCAAAGACTAGACACACCCCCTTCTGCTGTTTTTTCAACAACAACCTTTTACTTGAGTTTTATATATTTGCAGGGTTGCCAGCATAATTATTTTGATAGCTTAGTATTATACGAATAACGATCTATAGTTTAGGCTATAGTGTAGTCTATAGTCTAGTCTATGGTCTAGTCTATGGTCTAGTCTATAGTCTAGTCTATAGTCTAGTCTATAGTCTAGTCTATAGTCTAGTCTATAGTCTAGTCTATAGTCTAGTCTATAGTCTAGTCTATAGTCTAGTCTACAGTCTAGTCTATAGTCTAGTCTATAGTCTAGTCTATAGTCCAGTCTACAGTCTAGTCTATAGTCTAGTCTATAGTCTAATCTAGTCTAGTCTATAGTCTAGTCTATAGTCTAGTCTATAGTCTAGTCTATAGTCTAGTCTATAGTCTAGTCTATAGTCTAGTCTATAGTCTAGTCTATAGTCTAGTCTATAGTCTAGTCTATAGTCTAGTCTATAGTCTAGTCTATAGTCTAGTCTATAGTCTAGTCTATAGTCTAGTCTATAGTCTAGTCTATAGTCTAGTCTATAGTCTAGTCTATAGTCTAGTCTATAGTCTAGTCTATAGTCTAGTCTATAGTCTAGTCTATAGTCTAGTCTATAGTCTAGTCTATAGTCTAGTCTATAGTCTAGTCTATAGTCTAGTCTATAGTCTAGTCTATAGTCTAGTCTATAGTCTAGTCTATAGTCTAGTCTATAGTCTAGTCTATAGTCTAGTCTATAGTCTAGTCTATAGTCTAGTCTATAGTCTAGTCTATAGTCTAGTCTATAGTCTAGTCTATAGTCTAGTCTAGTCTATAGTCTAGTCTATAGTCTAGTCTATAGTCTAGTCTATAGTCTAGTCTATAGTCTAGTCTATAGTCTAGTCTATAGTCTAGTCTATAGTCTAGTCTATAGTCTAGTCTATAGTCTAGTCTATAGTCTAGTCTATAGTCTAGTCTATAGTCTAGTCTAGTCTAGTCTATAGTCTAGTCTATAGTCTAGTCTATAGTCTAGTCTACAGTCTAGTCTAGTCTAGATCCATTCTATAGTCTATAGACTAGTCTATAGTCTAGTCTATAGTCTAGATCCATTCTATAGTCTATAGTCTAGTCTTGGTCTAGTCTACAGACTAGTCTATAGAACATCCAGTCTATAGTCTAGAACATCCAGTCTATAGTCTAGTCTTTAGTCAAAATTTCTAGATATTGATTAAATTTTACGTTTCCTAGAGGTCTCTACAAAAAGTTTAATTTGACGGTTTCTAGCGGTTTTTGTAAAACAATTTGACCGAAATTGGTAACAAAAAAATGGCAACACTGAACTCGATTTTGACCAAAAATGTTTTCTATGTCAAGTTAAAAATTCTACTACTACTTTTTTGCCCATCCTTGTAATGTTTGTCTTTCAATTACCCACCAAAAGCTAAATCCCAATAACGTGCTAAAATCCCTATCTCTAGCAGAACTTAATACCCATCTATCATTTATTCAGTCATCACATGTTTAAAAAAAAAAGATATATATTTGTCAGCACCACACAATAAGTTAAATAAAACAAAAATTAACTTAATAAAACAAAAATAGCCAAAAATAAAATCAATATTAAAAGTTAATGTATGCGAAGATAGATAAATATTTACTACTACTATTTATTTATCTTAAATTTAACAAATATTTGTTTTTTTTTTAGTTTCTAATGTGAACGCTATACGCAGATGTATACCCAAAGTAAAGAAAGACTTTTAGGGGTCACTTTGTAACGCCCTTGCCTTAATGCCTTTCACAAAGTTTTATTTATTTGTTTTGACTTTTTTTATTGCAAATCGCCCACTCCACTAAAAGACACAACAGGGATACATGGAGCTATTGAGATGATATAGAAAAAAAATCACAAGATGTAAAAACAATTTGTTTGCATTAACTGGTTCTACAGGTTGGCAACGCC